AACAAAACAACCAACAACCCCCCGTCCCCCCATTTTCATCACTTGCTCTGTCAGTTAGGCTTAATTACCAACCAGACTGTCCCTTGACTTAAGGTCTTTCTTTACATGACAAACCGGCGTCAATAAATGGTGAAGCGGCCAGGCGATTCGTTGTCGATACCCGTGCGAGTAGAACTGTTGATCGGATATCTCGGTCTTCCTGATGGAATGTTGTTCCTCAGCCCTGTGATAAAGGCAGGGTTGGAAGACAGCTCTGTTAATTTTCTACACTGTGTCAATTGGGACGTAAAAAAACCAACCTACATTGACACAAATTCACACGATAGGCCTATCACGCATATCAACGTTCCTGCCTGTGCTTTCTTTTTTCTATATCCCTATAGGAATAAAAAGGGGGAGGGTAGTTATTAGTTTGGGGTTTGTTTTTCTTTGCTTTTTGTTTGTTTGTTTGTTCGGTTGATTGTTTGTTTATTTTCGAGGTTGACTCTTCTACTTCTTGTAGTTCCTTCGTGTTTAGCTTGGGCGATCGTGCTACCCAGTTTCCGTGGGTCACTTCTGGCTGTGGGAGGATGTGGTTGAAAACTGCGCTCGGTTGGTCTTGAACTTGAAGTAAAGACGAACAGCAACAACGTAAATAGGGTGCCCACTACGGATGGGATCGGCCGACTCGGTCGTCTAAAAAACAAAAGTGTTTGTTTTCAGTTCCAGGTGATCGAGTCGGGCGATCGGCCCGATCCAGCCGTAGTGGGCACCCGTATAAGGATAACCCTTTGACGTCAGAAACCTGCTGTGTCTGGAACCACGCGTATAGCAACACAAGCAAACATGGCAAAGAAAAGCAGAGCAGAGTAGAGCAAGAATGGACTACACTACATTATAATAATGGCCATCACCACAACACACACTAGCATAACATAACAAACATAGCAGAGCAGAGCAAGTAAGCGTGGACTACTTTATATAGTCATCACCACACGCACACACACACACACATACATACACACACACACACACACACACACACACACACACACACACACACACACACACTCACACACACACGTAGTAGAGCTGAGTAAGCACGCACGGACCATGACAGCACATAATCATCATCCAGTGCCAGATCTGTGACAGACATCGGCGATCATGGTTTTCTTTTTATTCCTTTTCTCGGATGCTCTAAAAAAAAAGCTACGTTTCTCTGATCTTTCCCTGTTACCCATTTGTTTAGGTTCCTTAAATATGTTGTTCTAGGCCTACCCCTGCCTCGCTTGCCCTCAATATTGCCAGTGAGAGCTAGATGTTCAAGACCCTTATGTCTATTCAGGTGTCCCAAAAACTACATAATTTGTCGTTTCCTGATTGTTTTTAACATTGAGCGTCCCACGTGGGCTTCATCAAGCACTACCTCATTTGATTTCTTTTCCTTCCACAATACTCTTATCAGTCTCCTAAGAAACCACATTTCTGTTGCTTCTATTTTATTTTCACTGTCTTTAGTGATTGTCCAGCATTCACAGCCATATAGAAAGGTTGACCAAACATAACATTTCAGGACTTTCATTTTGGTGTTCATTGAGATGTTTCTATTTTTCAGGATTGGGCTCATTTTGTTGAAACTAGCCTTAGCCATTGCATTTCTCCTTTTTATTTCTGTGGAACATTTGGCATCAGATGTTATCATATTCATATTATAATAATTATATCCTAGATATTTAAACTGATAGACTTGTTTGATCTTCTCACCTTTGCTAATGAGATTACAACTAGAATTTGCTGCTTTTTTGGATATTATTATTACTTTGCATTCTGTTTTCTTTACATTCAACAATAATCCTTTACGTTCAACAATAATCCTTTACGTTCAACAATAATCCTTTACATTCAACAATAATCCTTTACGTTCAACAATAATCCTTTACATTCAACAATAATCCTTTACGTTCAACAATAATCCTTTACATTCAACAATAATCCTTTACATTCAACAATAATCCTTTACGTTCAACAATAATCCTTTACATTCAACAATAATCCTTTACGTTCAACAATAATCCTTTACGTTCAACAATAATCCTTTACCTTCAACAATAATCCTTTACATTCAACAATAATCCTTTACATTCAACAATAATCCTTTACGTTCAACAATAATCCTTTACGTTCAACAATAATCCTTTACATTCAACAATAATCCTTTACGTTCAACAATAATCCTTTACATTCAACAATAATCCTTTACATTCAACAATAATCCTTTACGTTCAACAATAATCCTTTACGTTCAACAATAATCCTTTACGTTCAACAATAATCCTTTACGTTCAACAATAATCCTTTACGTTCAACAATAATCCTTTACATTCAACAATAATCCTTTACGTTCAACAATAATCCTTTACATTCAACAATAATCCTTTACATTCAACAATAATCCTTTACGTTCAACAATAATCCTTTACGTTCAACAACAGCACAACACAAGCAAAAACACAATGTCCGAGGCGACACAAGGGGGAGAATCCTGTCGAAAACTCCACTACCTATACCATCAACGCATTCACCCCCTTGGATTTACCCCAGCAGCTTTCATAAAGACCGTTCTTAAATGTAGGCGTTTTCACCCCTCCCCTCTCCTTGCCTCCTCCATTTCCCTACAATTTAGATCATTTAGGAGGCGGGCTTCAGACCCTTTCTGAGAAGGTCAACCAGGGGTGAGAGTGGGAGGGATACAACACCCCAGCAGAAACAGAAACACCGAGATACTCGATAAGATTTCTCCTCACTTTGGAATCGAACTCGGACTCCTGCGTGGGACAGTTCGGGAGCGATATGGATAATCTATCTATCTATCTATCTATCTATCTATCTATCTATCTATCTATCTATCTATCTATCTATCTATCTATCTATCTATCTATCTAACTCCCATCGCTTAGGAACCCCTTCCCTCTCATTTCTCTCTCAACTTGCAGCCACGACATCTCAAAGCAAAGCCTGAGGTGGCACAGGGAAAGGGGGAGAACCCTATAGATAACTCCACTGCCGGTACCATCAACGCATTTCACTCCCTTGAAAGTACATCTAGCTAATGACTCGGTTAAACACGTATAGAAAAACTGGACGATCTGTCGATCATTCGATAAATTGTTACTAGTAATAGTAACCTCAAAATTGGGCGATTGGACGATGGCCCAGAGTCGCGGTCGAGAAAGCACAAGCGCATTTGATACACATTATTTTTGGTGCGAACTCTACCAGATTTGGGGGGTTGGGGGGGGGGGGGGGG